TTATTGCCCATGAATTCTATCTTGAATGGAGCAATGCTAGACTACAAATATAATCGACAAATAAGTGGATTAGTTGTTAAGAAAAACAATATGAATGCATTTGTTACTTTTCTTTTGAATTGCATATATTTTTTTATTTTTTTCTTGCATTGCACCTTTTTTAACTAAAGCCCCCCACAAATTGCGCTTTGCGCTTAAATCCCAATTGACCTAGAGCGCCTTTTAGAGCTTTTTGCCTTTGACAACACTAAAACCTTTAGATTTTAGGGTTTGTCGCCAAACCTCCATCCTCTCACTAACACCAGCTCGTGTCTCGTCAATCAGAACTATGTCATCCGCAAATAACATCCATCATGGAACCTCCCCTTAAATATGACGAGTCAGTGCATTCATTGCCAAGGAAAACAAGAACAAACTAAGGGCTTATCCCTGGTGCAATCCCATCACATCCGGGAAGTGTTCTGAATCTCCTCCAACCGTCCTGACCCGGGTCTTAGCTCCATCATACATGTTCTTAATCACCCTAATGTATGCAACATGATCACCTTTAGCCTCCAAGCATCTCCATAGAATCTTTCTCAAGACTCTGTCGTATGCTTTATCTAGGTCAATGAACACTATATTCAAGTCTTTCTTTAATTCCCTATATTGCTCCACCAATCTCCTTACAAGGTGAATGACTTTCGTAGTCGAACGACCCATCATGCTTGGTTCTCGGAAATAGACTAACTCCTACTCACCCTTACTTCTACCACCCTCTCCCAAATCTTTATTGTATGGCTTAACTTGATACCCCTATAGCTGTTGCAATTTTAGATATCACCCTTGTTCTTGTACAACAAAATTATCATACTTCCATTCTTCAGGCATTTTCTTCGTCCTAAAAATGATGCTAAATAACCCAGTGAGCCACTCCAAGCCTGTCCTACCCGTGTTCTTCCAGAATTTCGCAGGGATTTCATCTGGCCAGTCGCTTTACCCCTGCTCATCCTACGCATAGCCCCTTGACCTCTTCAACGCTTATGCGCCTACAAAATCCAAAATCACGATGACTCTTGGAGTGCTCCAAATCACCTAGCAGAATGTTCCTATCTCCCTCTTCATTCCAAAGAGTTTATGGAAGTACGACTGTCATTTTCGCCTAATTTGTGCCTCTTCTATCAAAACTCTGGCCTCATCTTTGATGCACTTCACTTGATCCAGATCACAAGCCTTCCTTTAGCTCACCTTGGTTAGCCTGTACAACTTCTAGCCTGTACTTCACTTGGATAGTGTAAATAACTTTTACACTATTGATGCAATTTAACCTCTTATAGCAGGTTACTACCCTATTTTCCAAGTCACCAAATTAGTGTCCACTACGAAGAGTTACCTATTGTTATATGTAAACTTAACGTGATGGTGTAAAAAACTTATATGTTGTCAGCATTCAGAACTTAAACCTTATTGGCCTTCTATTAGATTGATGTCATCTGTTAGTAGTCAATTCTGACGTTATGGTTCTTTTTCTTTTTGGAGTTCTAAGATTAGTTCCCCATCTGAGATATAACACACCAACTTTGATTTATGGTGAATATTTTGTATTACTAACAGTAATCATGATGCCATTTTAGCATGATTAGGCATTAATATTTGTGCGTTTGTTGCAGATGAGAGAGATAATATATCACAAGTTGATTCAGATAAATTTAAGACGATAATTGAGGAAGTTGAAAGGCTACATCAGCAAGGTATTGGTTCAAGTTTTATGTTTCTGGTGCATTGATACTATGTGTAATATTATTTTGTTTCCGAATGTGGCGTACCTGCTTGGGTAATTTGTACTTTGCATGTGCAAAATTACTCTTATGTTTTTAGTTCAATTGATTTTTGCTTGGTTGCGTTTTCGTTGAAGTACTGTTGCAGAACTTGAAATGTTTTGCAGAGTGCAGGTGCTAAATCTCTTGTTATTTGTGAAAGAGAGAATCCATTGGAAAATAGGTGGTTTCTTGAGTAGTTGGATTGATTGCCTTATTACTTGTTTACATAAGTATGCTTGGTTCATTGTATTATTCTGTCTATCCAAACTTTATTAGTATATGATTGAGTGTAAGCTGAAAATATGTTATTCTTTTCTTTAAAAAGCTGACGGACTGTCTGGTGACTTCTTTTAAAGTTGGAGGGTGAGAAATCTGCATTTAATTGTTTTCCCTTAGGCTTTTGGGATTTAATTAATTGTCGAGAAATGAAATAGTAGGCCTTCTTATTTCATAAAAAAAGTAGATGTTATTCTTTTAGTTTTATAGGTTCGCAACCCTGATGATTCAGTTATACAATCATGTTCGAATTTTCTGGATTCACTTTAGAAGTTTTATTTTTTTATATATAGTACAAAAACCTAGGGAACAGGTTGCCGATGCTGAGGCCTTGCTGGACATCACAAACTCCTTGGTGACGACTGTAAAGGCACATAGTAATGGAGGAGTTACCCCTTCAGATTTTGTTAGTTGTTTACTTAGGGACTTTGGCCAAGAAGGTGGATCTAGCAGTAGGACAGAAGAGGATGGAAATATACACTGGAAAGATGTTGGTGTTGCTGTCTCTCATGTTTTCAGGGGTGCTCCTGGATGCTGCACTATGTAAATTTCCAATCATCCATCTTCTTTCTTGTTATGTACCACCTTGTGTATTGAACCAGATGTAATCTATATTTTTCACAGGATTGGGCCTATGAATACTGAAGTTAAGCAACGTAATCCTGTTGTTCGTAGAAAGCGTGTCATGCCAACAGAAAGTGAACGCCCTGAGGAGGTATGACATTCTATTTACAAGCCTCTACGCATCCTTGCTTATTATTTGGAGAACTTGGATAAAGAAATTGCTCCCACCTTATCAGAAGAATATATTTTAAGCTAAGATATTTAGAAGTGATTTAGTCAGATGTTTACTGCTGGAAGAACATTTAAAGAAATCTCAAGTCTCTAGGAGAATTGAGTCTATCTCTAAAATAGTTTAAGCATTTTACTTGAATATTATCTTGTGGATCTCTCTTTGCATTAGAGTTTCCTCATTCTGTTTTAAATGCCGAGTTGCTGACTGTAGTCACTTTTCTTTAGTTTCTTTAAACTGCATAACCACTAGCTAATTCTTCCTTACTTTGCTAATATTTATTGTATCCTAAGATATCTTGATATATTTTCAGCTAAATGAAACAGTTGGTGAAGAGAAGACAGACACTGACAAGAATATGGCTACGATGTTCCAAATTTTAAGGAGGCATAAGAGCGTTAAGCTCGAAAACATAATCCTGAATAGAAGATCATTTGCACAAACAGTTGAAAATTTATTTGCCCTATCGTTTCTAATGAAAGATGGGCGGGCTGACATAACTGTTGATGACAAAGGCTGTCATAGAGTTTGTAAGTTTCTTATGCCCATAGTTGTTTGGAGTTTCAGTTTCTTCTTCTGCCTCTGCATATTTCATGACTAGACTAACTAATGATTATGCAGCACCAAGGAATGCTCCTGCTTCTAATGCAGTTCTTTCTGGGGAGGTTTCTTATATGCACTTCGTCTTTAGATTCGACTTCCTGGATTGGAAGGTATCTATCTTAAATCCATCATTTCTCTCTCTCTCTGTATATATATATATATATAGAGGATTATGGATGGTTTTTATTTTTGTTTCTGTTGATATTGAACTATTAGCACACTGAAATGACTTTCTATCTTATACTAAAAGTATGCTTCTCACATAAGCTAATGGCCAAGGATTTGTGCTTTAACAAGCTTGTGGATGAGATCAACTTTCATTTTTATATTATTCTGCATAATAGATGTATGGTCAGTTTTACCACATCATTATCCTGTTCTTTTCATTTCTGATGCATAACAGATTTGATGTTTTTCATTTAGCAGCTGTCTTGCGATGCTACTCAGCAGGTTTCCTGCTGTTTTGCTCTCATTCTTGAATCTTTTGAGTGCTCATTTTAGTTCCATTACATGTGATGTGCCTAGGAGTTCTATTATTAGTCACTATGCCTCTGAATTAGTTTCTTCATATGCAGCTTATGTTGGCTTCTGTTGGTGATGGAGAAGAATTAATGCCACACAGAAATGAAGCTGAAACGCTAGCCAATTCTCAGCCGGCATCAAACAATGTAGAAAATGAACGAGGTGTGTCAACAACACCAATAAGGAAGTTATCCAGAAATCGTGGTCTGGTTTTGCAGGAGCAGATTGTAGTTGAAGACTCCCCAGAAAGTGAGAATTCTGCAAGAGCTGCTGCTATTAGGAAAGGAAAGCGAAAGCTCACATAAGACTGGCTGAAGCTTATAGAACTTTGAGATGATTCAGGAAGTTCCACGGTTATTGGTTAAGTATTAGGAAATTGTTAACTTTGATCTGTTTTTTGGGCCAATAGCTCTTTGGTTAATATATTCAGACATAGAGGTAACAAGCGGACATTCTTTTCCCATCTTATTTTGTTCCTTCTTGTTATTGCATAGGGGGAGGAGGAAGGCTGAAACCCCCTTATCGTATGCCTCCTGTAAAAATGTTTTCTTTGTGTAGTAATTGGTGCACTGCTGGTAACATATTAAGCTAAGCCCGGTTTCTCAGAGAACTTAGTATTGACCGCAGTATGTTTTTAATGTAGATCTGGATGACCAAGGTTGATGCAGAGGTTGGATAACGTATCGTTATAATGTACAGAATGAAAGCGTTGAGAACTTGAGATGTGCAAATTCAAAATAGTTTACAAAATTTACTTGTCATAAATTTGCTCAAGAAAAAAGTGATCTTGATGTCCTCATTACGCACTGGTTGAGCGTATGATACTTGTGGCAAATAGTCTGCCCTATCTGTAGCTCATGCGTAGACTGAAATCTACTGGATAACTTATGTATATATTTAGAAGCTAAGATTTGAGCAATGGCAGTATCAAATCAAATAAATATCCTGCACTTGAGTGTAGATTCTGTCTCCATAAGATAATGGGCAACGGAAAACCAGAAGGAAAGTTTTACTCATTGAATGCATCTTGAATTAAATTTGAATGCAAATAGTTAATTAGCACATCGGCAAAATGATTAAATAAAGAGGACCATATCCAATGCTGAGATTGCCTCCTACAAATGCAATGTCACATCAGTTGATATCCACTCATCGAAATGAAATGACCTATCTGCGGAATCTATAATAGATAACAAAACCAAGAGGCTGACTTTTGTGTCCTATTATCGAAAGAATATTTTATTTCTCTGAAATAACACAAGCGATACTAGCATTTCCTCCAGCTCTAACTCTTATTATCCGTTGGGATATTGAGACCCGAAAAAGCTGGGCTGTCAACTCCAACTCCCATTGCATTCAGACCATTGTCAACATACACGGTGGCACCAGTAATTGCTGAAGCCAAAGGAGATGCCAGAAAAGCAGCAGTGTTTCCGACCTCCTCTGTTAGTTCCACTTTAAGGTTAGATACTCAGAAGCAATAGAAGTGCAGCACACAGTAAGATGAGAATCTCAGCTTAAATTCTATTCAAAGCCTCCCATCCCGATACATACACCAGTATGATTTTGAAAATGAATTCAGGTAAGAGAACGCATTTGACCCTCACTAGCAACATGGTGATTGTTCTGAGCATTCTCAGTGGAAAATAAATATTCAACCATCTTACTTACCGGCATATAACTCTTTTTGCAAAGGAGCATTCTCCAATGAGTAATTTATCATCATGTCAATAAAGCCAATAGCTTTTGCTGCACGACTTCCCAGTGGACCTGTAAATTAATTACTTGTTTAATTTCTGGCAATGGAGTTTTAGATCTATGAGCACCGAGCATATTAGGAGGCGAACATAGGAATGTTTGATGTGAGTTGAGCACACAATAGTGACTGAAGAAGTTATCAACCAAATTAGACAGTTTTAGGTTGTAATGGAAATGAAGACATGTCATGGAAAACATGTTCTCCCCGAAACGAGAATAAAATTCAAGCTTTGACAATGCAGCATATCATTGAATTGGTTTGTGCAGAAAATTTCCAGAGTTAAAAGATCAGCAAGTTATACAGAAACTGAGTGTTGATGCATACCTGCAGATATCGTGTTCACTCTGACTTTGTGCTTTCTTCCAGCTTCAAATGCCAGGACCTTCAGCAAGCGTACACTACTCTTACGCAATGCTCATAGTTGAAGCTAAAGGGAACGAGAGATGGATTATCGAAAATAAAACTAGCTACAAACTTACTCTTGTGTCACTCTCCAAAGCAGCTTTTGCTGAACTCATACCGCCTCCATATCTGTAAATCCAAGAAGAATATTAATTTAAACCTAAACTGAGAAATTAAGAAAGTTCAACCTACATAATTAAGGAGAGTCATACCCAGGGATAATCCTTTCAGAAGCAACGTACGTTAGAGAGATTGTGGCACCGCCTACAAGGTAAGGACATAGCTGAAAGTTTCAGAGAAAGATTTGTTTGATGGAACAGCACTTGATGCACTAATATTGTTTTACTAAAGTAACCAAAAATAACAGAAGGCTAGCAAGGGTATACCTGGATTTATTATGGGAAGAAAATGCCTCAGTAGAGATATAAAGGAATAACTGGAGGCAGATACAGCTGCAAGGTATCCTTTTCTTGATGTCTCTGACAGAGGTTTGCTAACCTATAATAAATATTTAAAAATTATAGGCCTCGTAAGGATTGTAAAGGGAAATTCACAAAGGAAGGATGAAGGAATAGTGTACCTCTGGACCATTTGCAAGTGAATGTACAAGGATGTCAATAGTGCCAAAATCTTGTTTAACACATTCTGCAACTTCCTACAATATTAGCAATAACAAGGTTATTTAACAAGTTTATCAGCTGTGTTGACATAACTCTGCATTCCCTAAATATACAATACTATTTTACTACTTTATGAGCAAGATAGATAATTCAACTAAAAAGATGGAGGAGAAAACACTGGAGATATCACACGCCAGCGGAGCGGAATATGGTACTTTAATTAAATGATGACCAAACAGAAGTTTCAGTATCAATGATGCATATAGCATATTACAACGTCCTTATAACCAAACAAACATTTCGTCAATGACACATTTAGGATATAATAAAGTCTTTCGTAACCAAATTTCAGCATCAACTATAACTGAAGCTTTTCTGGCCAAATAAACTTAGGAGCCAGGGTTGAAGAAGATTTGATCATAATATATGGATGTCAACTATAAGCAATTTGCACAGGCATGGTGGAGAATACTAAAACGGGCCAAACAACATCCAATATTATGTGTTTGAATGCCCTTCAACACTCACAAATAAAAGTTTCCTTTAATATAAGAACCAACATATACATATGGTTGCATGTAGGCATATATCCAGATGAACAATATGAGAAACAGCAAGAAATATGTAAAGCATGATATACCTTGACAGTCCATTTTGAGGATCCAGCATAACGTTTGTTTGTTTTGACCTGCACGAATTTCACCAAGTATGATTAGACTTGTATGAGTTGTTGAGAGGAGAACTGAAAATAGTTTATCTTACATCCTCAGGAACATCTTCTGGACTGTCAAAAACTGCATCCAGAGGGTAAACCTTTGTAATTTCCATCAATGATCCATCTGGCAACCTAAAACATCAAATTACGTTACCTATCAGAAAAATGTGGGAAAGAAGACAGTACATGGAAAGATAGAATATTTTCATGCTTACACTCGTGAATCATCAAACTTCCCCCGCCGCAGACTGGTTTCGAAAATGTTCAATGCCTGTAATATAAAGTAATCAGAAAGACCACTTCTTTGCCATGTTATAAGTAATGGTAGTAACTTTATAAACATGTCAAAGATATACGTACAGGGACCCATGTACCAACAAGAATTTCAGCCCCTGCAGCTGCAAGAGACTTTGCTATTGCCCATCCATACCCATTATCATCTGCTATGCCTGCAATAAATGCCCTCTTACCTGCATAATAAGAAATAAACAATCACTTATTGCAAGCAAAAACTCTAAACTACTGCACAAAACCTCAAACCAAAGGAGAATTTACAGACACTTTAGAGCAACCTCTCAAATCGATAGGTAATCCTGAAACTGGCACTTGTTCACGTGCTCCAGACATAGCTTTTGTAACCATCTTTTCAAATTTTATAGGAGCCAATTTGGAGCTATCAATTGGCTTGCTGAGCGAGATGTAAGATGATCCTCTAAAATCTGTACAAGATTTTCTTTTACATTCAAAACTGAAACTTATACTGCTCAAATTTGAAATATTGCAAGATGCGGAAATGCATTGTTCGGTTGCTCGGATTTGCAAGCCAGGATTAGTGTTTGCAGCCATTTCCAGCAAGTCAGTGGACCAGAATAACAAAAGAGGAATCTGAATGAATCATAGATGGTCAGTACAACAAAATATTTTTGAACCAACAAAATATATACAAGACATTAATGATCCAGGCAATATGAGAAAATAAGTTAGTCAAATTTACATGTGTAAGTAAGTACATGTCAAACTTAAAATTTGTAGTTGTATCTTGTGAACTTCTTAGATATTGATTCCATAAAACACAAGTTTATTAAAGTGGACATATACGCAAGGGCAGATGTACAAGGTAAGGTCTGGGTTCATCGAACCCACCAGCTTAGCGTAGACCTTATATATCTGTTAAAAGATCTACTGAACATGTACAAATATTAAATTTCGAACCCAATAACTCAAATGGTTAGTAAGTTCAGTGGCATTCTGAACCCATAAAGTTCAAATCTTGGATCCGCCTAAAGCATGAACAACCTCCATCAAGCTCAAAAATAATAATGATCAAGCACCATAAACTTAAAAATGTGTGCCTGGTATAAACTGAAATGTTTTCCAAGAAAATATTTTCCATGGAATATATTCTCCTCCAAAATGTTTTCCGGTATTTCCTTAATGAATGAAAAATATTTCTTGAACAAAGTAAATATCAGAGATCAATAATAATGCTAGAGAATTGGATAGTGTTCTGATGAAAAATTTTAGTATTAAAAACTGATAAAAATGTCTAAGTACTGGTTGGACAATTAATCTGAAGTTTAAAGTTGAGCTTTCATGAAAATTTTAACACACCAGAATAAACTTAAAATTTTCAATTTTTTTAAAAAGAATAAAGAATAAAGAAACATAGCTCAAGTAGCACGCGAGTGATATATCAGAAATCGAAAAAGGGTCAAATATGCCCTTATACTATTGAAAAAGGTTTAATATTACCCTCCGTTATACTATCAGTCCAAATATACCCCTAACGTCATACTATCGGTCCAAATATATCCCTTACATCATGAAATTGGTACAAACCTACCCTTCCTCCGTTAACTGCCTCCCCTATGAATACATTTTATTGCTACCTCACCATTTCACCCTGTTTGCAGCTACCAAGTTCGATTACTTTGAAGTTCTATCATTATTTTGAAGACTTCACTGCCTCTACTTCCTCTTGCTTTTCAAAATACTTGTTGCTTCTCCGGCCGATCCTGGAATTGTACGTACCTTTCAGTTGACCTTACAATTTTGTGTTTTATTTTGCATTTCCTTGTGTTGCCGCTGAATTTGTAAGACCTATTTAGGGAAAATTTAGTAGCACTTTTATTTTAAAATAAAACATAAAGAGAGAAAGAAAATGGTAGCCTTCCAGAAATGTGGTGGAAGAGAAAGAAACAAAAAAAGTTAACTCTCGTGTCTAGGTTGTTTTTCTTTCTCACCATGGTCAATTTTGAAACCTTAAACTAGCTTGCATGTATCTTTGCTTAGTTTTTTTATATAAAATAAAATGTATTTTCGTTCGTATAAGTATGAATTTTGAATAACAAAATCAGAATTTTTTCGGTTCACATTGTTTCATATTATCTTTAGTTGTTAGCATTTCTTTTGATGTAGTTTGTTTGTATATCTATGATCTGTGATTTTTCTTCAAATAAACCGGAAAGAAAGGTTGTGGGGAAGGGATGAAAATGGGAGTATAATGGTGAGGTGTCAATGAAATGTTGTCACCAAGGAGACAGTTAACGGAGGAAGGGTAGGTTTGTACCAGTTTTATGATGTCAGGAATATATTTGGAGGGATAGTATAACGGATGACAATATTAGACCTTTTTCAATAGTATAGAGGCATATTTGACCCTTTTCCGATCAGAATCCATACAAGAAAATGCAATTCTAATTTAACTCGATAAATTAATCAAATAGAAGATGAAACCAAATTTCAAACTAAAAAAAGTAAAAAAACGAAAGATGATGATATAACATTTGATCAATGTAGGATTGAACAGCATTTGAATCATAGATGTTTATGCAAAGAAAAAAAACTCACCTCAGATTCAGAAAACACGAAGAAGGAACTAATAATGCTTGAAGGAGAAAATAAATTGATTTATATATAGTGCCCTGTCGATGAAAACGAAGCTATGGCCGTTGGGGAGCTTTGAAAGTGCAGTAATGGAGAGAGTGTGAACGGGTGGGATGTTATGTATTAAATGACAATTTTACCCTGCTTAAGGCTTGGGCTTTCACTGCTCAAGAAGTTAAGTGAGCGAGCCCACGTCCAGTTGGTCCATCGATATCCCGTCGGAAGTGTTGAATTTGGCACATTTGCATCTATACCCGCTTTTTGTGTCATATTTTAATTTGTGTCCGTTTTGCAAAAGAAATGGCAAGCGTACCCGCTTTTTCGCATAATTTCAGCATACGGGCTGAAGTAGCAAAGACAATCACGCAAAACTTCAGCATTCTAGTAGCGGGGCCTGAAGTTCAGCTCTAGAGCTGGAGTTTTGGTGTTGTAACTGAGAAACTTCATCTCTAGAGCTGAAGTTTTTTTACCACCTATTAATATTACATACTAGAGCTGAAGTTTCTAGTTACAACACAAAAACTTCAGCTCTTACATACTAGAACTGAAGTTTCCAATTACAACACAAAAACTTCAGCTCTAGAGCTGAAGTTTTTTTACCACCTATTAATATTACATACTAGAGCTGAAGTTTCCAGTTACAACACAAAAACTTCAGCTCTAGAGCTGAAGTTTTTGTCTTTGTAACAGAGAAACTTCAGCTATAGAGTGTTCAATATAGCAACATGCATAGCATTTTGTCCATTGCTTTAATAGCTCATTTTGACGAATGAAAAAGTTGACTAAGTCTAAAATAGAATTTCCAAACAAGCAAACATCCTTTGAACGCAAGTTCTAAGAAATAGTAGAGAAATTCCTCATCTGACTTAGTCTTTAATTGGAATATGGCTTTCCAATATTCACCAGAAAACTTCCTTAAGAATATATTGCATCTATGCTATAAATATCCACTTATTAACTCGATCTACAATAAGCACAACGTCCAGCTTTTGAAGGGTACCAAAGTTTAATGGATGGTGACAAAGGAGTGATCACACTTGATAGACTAAAGAAGAACTCTGTGTTACTGGGGTTGCAAGATAGAAAATAGCAGCAGAAGAAAGAAGAAGAAGAAGAAGAAGAAGAAGAAGAAGAAGAAGAAGAAGAAGAAGAAGAAGAAGAAGAAGGAGGAGGAGGAGGAGGAGGAGGAGGAGAAGGAGAAGGAGGAGGAGAAAGGGAGCTGAAGTTATTTAAAAAGTGGGTACAAGTTAAAAGTTTTTAAGAAAATGGGTATAGATTAAATGGGGGCGACCAAATAGGGCGCCCCGTGTAATTTTTACGTTGAATTTTGATTTAAACACGCTGAGGGCCCTCATTTGGGAGGTCTGAATCTTCATAATTCAGATTTCAGATATTAAGTGTGTTTGTTTTTAAAGTCTAAATCTTAATTATTCAGATTTTAATCATTAAATATTTTTTTTATTTTACAACCACTTAATGGGTCTGAATAAGCATGTATGATTAGGATCTATAATAAAGACTTAATTTCATTAAGGGTGTGTTTGGTATGAAGGAAAATGAGTGTGTTTTATCACTTATTTTTACTTGTTTGGTTAGTGAGTGGAATACTTTTTCAAGAAAATATTTTCTAGTGTTTAGTTAGAGAGTATAAAATATTTTTAGGAAAATAATTTTTTATGCTACTCTCCTCAACCCACCTTCCCCAAAATCCCCATGTTTCATGTACTCTTTCCCCTCCACTCCGCTTCCCACCCCGAACTCTATTTTCTTCAAGAATTTAATTATTCTTTTCAAGATTCACACAAACCCAAAGGAACTAATGCGCTACTTTATTTTTTCACACAAGAACAACGTTAAAAATTGAGCTTGATAACTAAAAAGAAAAATACTTTATTTTGTTGAAAAAGAAAATATCTTTTCTACAACATGAAAGGAAAATACTCATTTTGTTGAATGAGCGAAAATACTTTTCTACATCATGAAAAGAAAGTACTCATTTTATTGAAATGAAAGAAAATACTTTTTTCTACATCATGAAAATAAGTACTCCTTATGTTGAAATGAAAGAAAATACTTTTACTACACCATGAAAAGAATATACTGATTTTGTTGAAATAAAAAAAACTACTCTATCTACAACATGAAAAGAAAATATTCTTAATAATAATTTTATTAAGGGTGGGTGGTGGGCAAGGTTGGGGTGAGTGGGGTGTGGTTGGGTATTATAAGCTCTATAGGGAAGCCTTCAGATTGAGCATTCTGTTGAGCTAATGAAGATCGTTGTCTCCTCTGTAGGGAAGCCTCTTCATCACTGGCTTCCCCATCATCATCAATCACTATAGTGGTTGTGGCTGGTGCGGGCGTGGCGTTCTTCACCCTTTTATTTTTGTCCTCAGTAGAAGAGGAATATTGCTTTTTTTTGTTATCAGTTTGGGAACTTTGAAAGGAAGCACCTGTACCGAAAGCGGGTCCGATGGCGTGTTTTTGGGTGAAGGCCTCCTTAAGTGACCTTGCAGCCTTTGCGGGATCAGCCAAAACATCCTCCTCGAGGACGGTAACAGAGCCCTACGGAAGACCTGAATTCAACGAAAAAAGAAGTTAACCAATTTTCTCATATATGAGGTAAAAACAATATTAGTTTCGAGAATAAACTTACCATGATTTTTGGCGTTCACCCGTATTTGAGAGCCAATTCTTTCCATCGACGGGTCTCAGGCATGGTAATATCCAAAATCTTCTGGACCCACTAGTCCAAGCCTTTAACCCTTGGTGGCGTCCACCGAGTTGCTGAAATAATGAAAAGAGAAGGATCAGTAACAACACGAAACAACCTTTCAATAAAGTAAAGACATACGTTTAACTTACGCATACGAGTCCATGACTCAGGGAAAGATAGAGTTGTGATTGGGATATCCTTGGTGGCAACTACAACGAATCTCTCCATCGATCCACGGTCGTTGTCATTATCCATGCTGCTAAGCAAAGCATGGTGACCACATTTTGCTAAAATTTATTACTCCTCCACGAAAAATCTTGGGGGAGTAAAGGTTCATCATGCGAGCCAAGGAGAGCTGTTCCCCCGCCTCTTGGCATAGCCGTTGTAGACAAGCTACTATCTGCCACACATAAGGGCTCACATATGCCAAGCATGCTTGATACTGGTAGCAGAACTCCAAGATTACGGGGTCAAGTTCCTCGCTCAATGAGAATGGGCCCAAAGTGAAGGGGTACGTGTAGACATACGTAAAAACCTTCTTGGGAAAGGTTATTCACTTCGCCAGTATGTTCAAATTATGACAACCATAATCCTCCTTCATAGCAGGAATGCGAGAAGGACGGATGGAAGAAGGGTACACGCAAACAACCCATGTACGAGAGTTGGTAGAAGAAAACTTCTCTTCAAAATCCTTGGCTGTATTGAGCCTTCTGGGAATGATGGTGCTCACTGTAGTAGGGGCAACATCATGTGCTTTCTTTGTTTTTTAGAGAGCTTGTGTTCTTGGATGAGGAGGCCATGATTAGTAGAAGATAATAAGAGTTTTTTGAATAAGAAGATTAAAAGCAAGAACGAGTTGAGTGCAAAGAATTTGGGAGAGTTTTGAAAAACTGTGAAGTGCAAAAGAAGAATAATGAGGCGTATAAGTAAAGGAATAGGCAGCTAAAATCATGACCATGATTACCTCAAGAACCGGACAAAGTACTGTTAAATTATGAGTGGCGCATGTTCGGGGCATTAAATACGGAGAGACGTGCGTCTAATCAAGCATCAGAAAATTTTCAATGGGAATCAGAAAATTTCCCGCCAAGAAAGGTATCTTCACCAACTTTCTGGTGACACAAAGATGTGACACCAGAAAGCATATGGACTATCTGTACAGGGTAAAATCGGTTCATGCTAAATACTCGAATAATAAAGTGACACATGAAACTGAAGGCAGCCGGAAAGCTAGGCATGAAGAAACCAAGGCTGGGGACAACAGCTTCGGTAGGCACTAGGAAGACCCCGAAAGGAATATTGATAATGAAGACAAACGAGCATTTGCCACCCGATAATATTCAACAAAGAGTATTCTTCAATATTAAATACACAATATATTATAGAGAATTTTGGCCTTCATGGCTTGCCGTTATACATTCATCAATGGCCCCTATAATTGTCATTTAAGAGGGGCTTGATCCTAGGACCTTGTTCCCTAGGTGCAACTATAAATAGTGATTTCAACAGTCATTGTAAGGGACACAAATTTTCTAACAAACTTATGTTACATACTATTCAAAAGCTCAATAATACTTTATTTCTTGTCTATTGATATTCTCATTACTGCGAAAGCTCTGCTCTCGGACCAAGCTATTTGCTATCTTATCTCGATTTCAACACTATGTCCTGCATCTTATTTAATTTATTTATTATTTTGGGATCAAATCAATTTGCCTGTCTATAAACCACGTTACAAATTCAACTGTACCGTTTTATGAGTAAACATATGTGCTATGAGATGTAGGATTTGTTTGTGATATAGTGGGGTTTGGTAGTGTTGTTCTAGAAATGTGGTTATTACTACTGCTATTAGATTCTTTTACCTATTTTTGCCTTTATTAATGTTATTTTACTGTTAACTCAATTTCTATTCTATTGCATATTAACTATACAAGTTTATATGGAAAGTATCTTGTCATATCCTCATCATTACCTTACTTTTTGAGTACATGTGATCGATTGTACTCACACTACACTTCTGTACTTCTTGTGTAGATCCCCGTATTGGTCCCAGCGGTGCTTCCAGAGGTGATTAACTCAGACTATTCAGGAGACTTAAGGTAGTGTTGTATGTTGTTGGCAGACCTTGGAGTCCCCTATCTATCATTTTATTATTGTTCATTATACCATATAATATTATATTTTCTTATAAACTCTGTATTTAGTAGTCTTACTAGCTCATGTACTTATGACACCTAATCTTGTGAAGAGGTTTAGACAGTGTTGGGTTATGGCTTTATTATATAGTTATGAGTTTTCGCTCTTTATAATAATGGAAAAGGGCCAAAATTATCCTCGAACTATAGACTTAGGGTCAAATATATCCTTTATTCACCTATTGCG